GTTACTCGCGTCTGGGACCGTGGCAACAAGACGGGCGAGGTATGGAAACCAGTGATGCCGACGCTGCGTGAAATCGTTATTCTTTCTGACTGCCCGCAGAGCACCGAACTCGCAAAGCACGCTCTTTTCCTACCGCTGTACAGGGAGATGCGGTGGAAAAACCGACAGAAGCTTCACCATGTGATGCAGAAAACATTTCCCGCATCACTGTTTTGTAGCCCCAGTGCGCACTTCCAACAGCATGTGATGAACACACCCTCCCAACACGCCTACCACTCGACGGAGGTAGAGGCACTACTGCGGTCATGGAGGCAATCTTGTAAAGACGTGAACGCCTTTTTTGCAAATCCGCAGCCCCTTCTTCTTTGGGCGCTTGTGGGGCCTGTTCCTGGCTACTTGCTCTCAAAGCTCTGAAAGAGAGATAGAGATAGAGGAAGAACAGTGCTCTCTCGCGCTGCGGTGCATTTTTTTCTTTTCTTGTGCTTTGTTTCTGTTGTATACGATTAGTGCTGTGGCACCAATTAATTTATCTGCATGAGTTGATGTTGTTGTTTTTTGGCTTGATTTTCCGGCGCCTATCATTTTTGTTTATACGCCTCTGACTACTTCCACGTGGACGCACATCAACGCCAATTGCATGCGCGGAATCACACCAGGAAGGGAACCACCTCTTCAAGAATGACCGACCCAGTGCGCCGTGACCCGACGGAGTTTCTTCGCGTCCTCCGTCGCATGTCAAGAACGACGTCGTGGCAAAAGACACTGTTGTTTGCGTCAAAGGGGCGTATGGTTGGCTACCGGTTGACACGCGAGCATTACAACACCATCCTCTATTCTCAGTCTCTGTGGGGACGGGCACTGGAAATTGTGCGGGTGATTCGCGCAATGCAGGAGGATCGAGTTCAGCCCAATGGTGCGACGTATTATTACATTGTGAACGGCATGGCGAATGCGGACCATGGTTGGAATTATGATTTCAAAATCAATCATCGATTAGAAAAGATACAACACTGGCGCGTTGCCCTGGAGGCATTGAATGCGTGTGAGGAGAATGGCTTTGACTCCACAGACACCATGCATAATTCGGCGCTTATTACAATGGTGATACCTGGGTTTAATAAATGGAAAGAAGCGAGTCGTTTACTTGAAAAAATATTGCGTGAGGATCGGCGCATGCACCCGACAATGGTGAAATTTTACCATGACTGTCTTATTCGCAATATGCGACCACGCGAGGCGAGTCATCTCATCCGCCTAGCCGCAGAGCAGGGAGTACAGGGCTACGAGGACAAGTGGGAGGCAGATGTTTACAAGGGGCGACCGCATGACAGTGAATTTAAGGAAACATCGTCCGTTGAGAAACGGGCCCAAGACGTTGCCTACACCTTTGCAGCGCTGCAACTGCGTGGGGATCAAAAGCTTCCAGCGGAGGAACTGCAGGCATTGCTGGAAGAGGAGACTGTACGCAACATTGCAGCAGAGCGTTCTGTGCCAGTCCCGTACTCTGCCGGTTTACATCCAACGGAAATGAACAGTGTTTTCCGCCCCCGTGTGTACCGGCAGTTGTGGTACAAGTGGCAGCATATAGCCAACCGATACCGTCCTACAATGGCGTTGAAACGCCGTCAGTTGGCTCCGAGGGACTCTCCAACTGGAATTCCAGGCTTCAACCGCATCTAAGCCCAGATGTTTTGCTTTTTGAGATGTATTATTTCCCTACTTTACCCACATTTTCATTGTGGAATGTCGTATTTTTTGGGGGAAAATAAAGGATACAATTTAATTGGAAGAATCGTGTAAGGATGAAGAGATCAGTAAAATGTGTTTGGGGGCCCACCCGCCTTGTAAGGCCATTTGCGTGAACGGAACGAGAGGGAAGCGCGGGGCATGTTCATTTGCTATGTACTTTGTGCTGTGATCTATGGAGGTTCAGTTGCACGCAAAAGCCATAATGCTAATGACTTTCACAGAGAAATTTTGTTTGATGCAACTGCATCTCATGCTTCTCGAGAATGAAAGAAAGAGAGGAATTGGGGCAGGTGTGATATGTGATTGCGTTCCTCGGTTTGTTGCTGGCGATGGTCTGCTGAAGCCTGCAGCGCCCCCTCCATCGAAAACGGCGGAGAGTAAAAACGCGAACAGATAATTCTTTTGTCATATTGACTCTCTGTCATTGTTGCTGCTTGTGTTGGCCCCCTGATTTCCTTGCCTTTTTGTTTTTTGTTTTTCTTTGTCTGTGCGTGTTCCAGCAAGGTGATAGAAGGGGTGGGGGTGGGGAAGGAAACAACGCAGGCAGCAATGAGGCGCAGTCGTAGTAGCCTCAATGAGAAGAAGGATGCCTCGAAGGGGCAACGTTTGTCGTGGGCGGAGAAGGCACGTAAGAAACTGGAAGCTGAACGTCATCTTGACGACAAAGGCAAGAATGGTA